ATCGAGGAGGATGGAGGTGGGTCTGAATGCTAACTAGCATCCTATCCTCTGGCTGAGATGGAGTCCATCACAGGCTTCACACTTCCAGGAACTCTTCTGTCTCATTTACCACTAATCCTGCTGCCTACTCAGAAACATTTCAACATCCTTTCCAGCAACTTTACCTTTTAAAACATGCAGCAACAGACTTTTAGATCCATTTTTGGTGTGTTTGAAGGTTATGACAGTGATGTAGCCAGAGAGAAGACGGTGGATTACGTCACTAAGATGTACGCCGTCAGCATCCGAGAGATGAGAGGAACCAAACCTCACCAGCAGCAGAAGGAGCTGTCTCCTGAGGAAAGGTAGGAACACAGCTGATAACAATGGCTTCCCTTTATTCTAAACTTAGTCCTGCAGGACTTAGGGTTTAATTAAATTATAGGCTGAATGTTGAGATGCCACGATCTATTATTTTGAGTTGTTTGCTTAAGACAGAAGTCTTCTTCTCTTTAACTTTATCCACTGAAAGCTAAACTGTCCATCTGAGGATGAAACATCCTCTCTATTCTTGCTGTGTTGGATTAATGCTTGCAGCTGATCGATCTTAATGCATATTTCTGTTTTTTTTTATTCTCTGCATGTCCAGATTTCTGCATGATCTGTAAGTTTAAACTGTGAGGAAACGCTGGTGGCTGTGTTTCTACTCATTAAACATACTAACAGGAAGCCATCTTTCCTCCACGGACAAAGTTTCCATTCAGATTTATCCACTGTAGTGGGAAAAGGTATTCATCTATTTGCTCCAGTTAAATAAACCGAGATCAATGGATTTTACTCAATTTGCACTTTATTTTGATCGTTGCAGAGAACAGTTCATCATAAGGTCCTTATTGCACCGTAATCAGCCCTGTTCTGCCTGGGCAGAGTCTGTTCCTCCTTACTTACAATAATGGAAAGTTATCAGACTCAAAACAAATTACTGACACTTTGGTTAAACAGTAACTTGCTATAAATAAACCTCGAGAAAGAATCCGGCTTGGTATGGGTAGAAGGTATGTCTGGTCTAAATCCTAGTTAATTGTGTGAGATAGCATGAAAATGTACACAAAGTAAACAACAACACATAAAAGCACAGAAACTTCACACATGAATGGAGGTAACTGAGATTTCTAAAGCTCCTGTCACACCTTGATGATTTAGCCAGCGTATGCCTCGCGTACGGAAAATCTGGTAAAACTGCTGGCATACGTTGGATAAGTTATGGGTATGTTTTGTATACGTTATGAGCACGCTGAAACACGCTGAAACACGCTGAAACATGCTGAAACATGCTGCTGCATGGTGGCACAAGTTGACATACGGCGAGGTTCGTAAAAGAGGAACTGAGTCCACACAGGAAAGAGATTTTTAACAGCTTCTGCAGAAGGAGAGAGCTGCAACCCAACACACTACTCTCTCCTGGACCCCCCCCCCCCCCCCCCCCCCCCCCCCCCCCTGCAGAGCCTTTTTATTAGCATATCTTAAAGGAATAGTACACCCAAAACATGATTAGCCTTCATTTTCTACTCACCCCCATGCTGAACAACACTCTGGAGTACTTTTTTGATATCTCAAATGCATCTGGAGATCTGTGAGGCTTCTTGCTGTCTGCTGACATTCAAATAATGGAGGTCTATGGCGCCCGAGGCAGAAAGGTCCATAAAAGTCCACAAAAAACGTGTCAATATTCCTCCATACTGCTCGTCCAATGTATTCCAAGTGTCCTGAGTGGGTAGCGTCCAGAATTTACTCGAAACGAAGTCATTTAGAATGTTTTTAGAGCATAAACAGTAGTGTATAGGATTTCCTGAAAGTGCGTTCACGACGCTACGGAAACCGCGGCAGACCAAACCAGATGAAAGTGCGCATTCAGCGTCTGCTCTGCCGATAATGCAAGCGTAGAAGAAGAAATGTGCTGTTTACCTGTGCAAAGAAAGAAACAACGAAAGAAAAATGTCTGAGGACTTCAGTGTTGAGGAAGAGCATGAGTTCTTTGCCGAGCTGAATGCGCACTTTCATCTGGTTTGGTCTGCCGCGGTTTCCATAGACTTCTCTCCAACGCATATCAAGGTATCTGCCGTGTTCCAGACGAGCGCTGAACGTGTTTCTAACTTCCAGCTACTGTATAATGGCGTATTGGCAGCGTTTTGGTATAAAGGGGGTTCACAGGAGGAAACCGTCAGTTCTCCTCCAGACTTCATCCCCATCATAGGGTGAGCCAGAAGGATCCTCCCTGCGTTCAGGGCCACAGCAAACAAACTTCCTAGCAGACATGATGCTGTGGAGTAAAAATGAGCACTGAGAGTTGATATGCAAGGAAGAAAAGGTTTTATTTTACTCTGCAGAGGAGAACTACACGAAACAGCTGCTACAGCTCCCAGTGTAGCTCTGGCTAGGTCGCTGGCCACCATTGCATTATAAAGAGACTCCTTACACACGAACATTGAGTCTTCCCAAGATAAACACTTTAGTTCATCAAAAGACATAAATTTGTTCAGATAAACATTTCAGACAACTGTTTCCTGTTCACGCCAAAAACAGGACGTGAGAATCTTGAACACAATAAGGACATGTTTATCTATGTTTTCCCCGATATCTAACCAAGGGAGGACACTTCTTCTCAACCCTCCTTCCTTTCCCTACATCTCAGCATAAAGAATGGAACAAAGCCTCTAAACAATCACCCCTATTCAGGAGGACAAAAAAAGGCACACTTTAATATTTAACCTTACAAAGAAATCTTTTTATGCAGGGCGGGCGCCTCCGTGGTGCATCGCTGCCCCCCTCAGGACACTGTGCATCATTTCATGGGCATTACGCTGCCGTGTGTTATGCAGAACTTACGCTGTCGTAAAGAAGTTCTGGACTTATGAATACTCTACTTATACGCCCAAAATTGAAAAAATACATAGAAAGTTGAGCGTATGCCAGTGTTTTAGGAGAATCTGGGACATCAGGCAGACGCTGGATAGAGAAGGTGGGACATGGTCCTAAAGCAGAGCCCTGACCAAAGCAGCAGGACACCTCCCCTTCCTCTCCCATGGTTTCATTCACACGAAAACAGGAAAATCAGTAAGTTAGTCTTAGTGGTCAATGTTATACCTGCTAAATGTTAACAGTAGAAATGACTTATTAGGAAAATCACGTCTTCCTGAACAGGATGAATAAAGGTGAGGGTAAAATGGCTCAATAAGCTTGTTAGTTTGAAACTACGCCAGTGGCATTTTGTTAGCATGTAGCTACAACCAGTCACACGTGTTTCTACGGGCCTATAGCGTTTGTCTGCATGTGTGTGCATTGTGGGTGTGTGATATGTCGGCTGTTACTGTAAATTACAGTAGTAGCCATTCAAAATTCCCCAACCTTCCTTGATGGGTCCTTGGCTGGTCCCCTACAATTCCTTTTTAAACATCAAAATTTGTACTAAAATGTTATTTGTCATGATTTGTGGACTTTCGGATCTAAAGCGAAGCGCCATCTCCTGGTCAGACCCTGTAATTCAGTGAAAGGGTGGAGTCAGAGTAAACAAAATATGCACACCCAGGAGAGGGAGGGCGTCACTCCACTGGCTGGAAGTCGGCTGCCATTGGGCTGGCTTTTGACTGGGAAGGGCCATTTTGACTGGCTGCTGCTGCACACATGAGAACAAGAGTGATGGGGTGCTTGTTCTAATCTGTGACTTGACTCTGTCCCTTTGCTTTCCAGGGGATCCAGGTAAAACCTGTCCACTTGCATGTCCATCTGTCTGTTGTCAGAATGAACATAATCATCTGTTATGTTCCTCACTGATGGCTAAATGATCCCTGGCAATTATCTAGTAAAAACTCTTAGAAGATAAAAGCTTCCTATGCTTGGAAACCTTGTTTTGTCTCCTGGAGCTCGGTCAGGCCCAGCCTGGAATAACAGCAGATCGCTCCTTTTACCAGAGCCCATGCGAAGGGATGTCTGAGTGTGTGTGTGGGGTGGCCCACATAAGGAACGGTCCCATATTTAGAGCAAAAATATTGTCAAAATGTATCCTGGTTGATGCCAAAAGTTCACAAATCCTTTCACACGTAGAAGGAAATGCAAAAAAAGATTTCCCATGGTGGAAGAGTGGAAGTCAATCCCTGGCTAAGAAGTTTCCCTTATTTACTTTCTAAGAAGTTGGAAACTAGAGGTGAGAGTCAGGTGGAAGGGAAGGACTGGGAACAATTCTAGCTGTCAGGATGTCTCCACAGAGATATGAAATGTTCCTTTAGTTATGGGTAAGGATGAGCAATCCTAACTAGATATATGGTGTTTAAACTTACCATCAAACACAGGGTTATTCCCGGAAAGAGCTGGACTCTCTCTAGAAAGTTGAACAGAGTGGACAGATGGGGCTAAATGTTGCTGCTCTGGCCTGTTATGAAGAAGAATCAACAGGGGCAAAATGTAAAGCTCCCAATATATTGGTCTGTTCAGCCTTTAACTGAACTGAATTCTATTCAGTTTATTTCTATAGCTCCAATTCACATCATGTCATCTCAGGTCACTTTCCAGTTCAACCAGATCATCCAGTCAGATTGATTCAAAGTTTTCTATCTAAGGAAAACCAGCTGAATGCATCGACTCATTGACTCTTCAGCAATCCCTCACACTAAGCATGCTTGTAGCGACAGTGGAGAGGAAAAACTCCCTTTGAACAGGAAGAAACCTCCAGCAGAACCAGGCTCAGTGTGAGCGGCCATCTGCTGAGGCCCACTGGGGTTCAAGGAGACAGAAGAAGACATAGAAAAAGAAGCATAGATACAAAAGGCAACTGTCAACGAGCTCCACAGGCGGCCCCGTCCAGGAAACACACAGCCAGGCAGACGAGCTCCGAGCCAGCTCCCATGTCAGAGGATGAAGAGAGCACATCCAGTTAGTCATAGTCAGAGAAACAGGACTACACTGGAAAACAGGCCAAGCTCCAACATCTAGAAACAAAGGTGTTGATGGCAGCAGCACAGCTGATATTTCTCTCCAGGATGGAGTCACAGCCAAACAGGAACAGACCAGATGAAGCTACTATGAGAAAAAGCAGAGAGAGCAGAATGTTAGAGATTGAACTAACAGATTCTGCAGAGTGGGAGAATAGAGATAGAATGAAGCAGAATGATGAAAAAGGGGTCCCTATGTCCTCCAGCAGTCTAAGCCTATAGCAGCAGAACTATAGAGATAGCTCAGGATAACCTGAGCCACTCTAACTAGAAGCTTTATCAAAAAGGAAGACAGCCTTTAGAGTCTGAGCTTCTGGATATCAGTGACTCTGGTTCAGGCATCTGATCAAGTTCTAATGAGCCATTGCCTGTGGTGGTCTTCTTAGTGGGTCCCAATAGGAAGCAACACTGAAGATAACCCATCTGTATTTCCCCTCTGGGCTGTGCATGTGTGTAGATCCCAGAGAATGAAGTGAGAATGTTTCCTTGGCTAGGGGTGCCGGGTTTCATTCAAAGTAGAACAGATTAAATCCAACCATTAGTGTCATAAACAGACAGATGTTTGCTCTAAAACGGCTTTTCCCAGGTCTTCACTTTTTGTCTCCAAAGTCACTCCTGTCTTTTATCAGCCATTATTTTTTCATGGTTACGTAATTGAGAATAATCTCATGTATTTAGTTCACTTGGACCACCAGGCTGTTATTCATCATGTGTGTTTTTGTAGTTTTTATTTGACCTTTTAATTATAAACTCACTAATTGGTCCTTTAGGCCTCCTGTGAGTCGAGCAGCTCCACAGCCTGAGAAACTTCAGAGGAACAATGTGTCCAAGAAAAAGAGATCAGTGGAGGTCAGTTCTCTTTGCTTCAGCCTGCGCCTCTCATTCGCTCTTCCCTCCTCTTCATGTTCTTCTTTCCTCTGTTTTCCGTTTCTAGGACCTGGTTTTGGAACACGTGTTTGGTTTCAGAGGCTTCGATTGTCGTAATAACTTGCACTACCTCAACGACGGCTCTGATATTGTCTATCACACTGCTGCCACTGCCATCGTCCACAGTCTGAGCAATGGTACCAATGCATTATGGATTTTTATACCATTGGATAACACAGAATAGGTTATAACCTCCAAATGAGTGTAAACCCAGTTTAATCAAGTCATATAAATGATAATTTCCAATGTTGCATTTAAATAAACCAGTTTATAAAACTTTCTTCATCAAAATGTCTTTAATAGATGAAGCTTTACATTAGCCAACTGTTTTCCTCTTTTGCACTGTAGGAACTCAGAGTTTCTACCTTGAACACACAGATGACATCCTCTGTCTGACCGTCAACCAGCATCCAAAATACAAAAACGTCATCGCAACCGGCCAGATGGGTATGCTCAGCCTCCATCTTTAAATGTTTCCTCTAAGAATGCCTGATGCATGGCTTCTGTTAACTCATCTTTACTAAATTAGTCCTGCTTTTCCTGCGTCCTCTTCCTCCTTGTTCTATTTCTACTTGAGAGAAACAGCAGAGAACAATTAAAACGTTTAGGTCTATTTAGACCCTGCAGTGTGAAGCAGCTGTAAAATGTATTTATATTGCTGTTAGAATTGCTTTGAAACATTTGACAGCATCACTTTATTTATTTATTTTCTTAACGGTGTCCTTTCTGGCAATGTGGTAATTAGAATAATTGTCTTGATGCCAGAAAAAAAAAAAGCCCAACAGATTTTGCTTTCACAAGTGGAGCAGTACGGCTATCGCCATAGTGTTCCGGATATAGTATAAGGGATACAATAAAGTAACACCTTGATACTATCGCTGAAGTATAAGTAGTATTATTTAATCTAACATGTATACTGTGTTACCTGAAGATCAGAATATGGGCTATTATCTGTATGGAGGTGAATCTCTTGAGTACCTGGAACCAAGCACCTGTAGTTGCTCATTAGAGGGCACTTGAGCATGTAAAGTTTATGCAAAGGAAAAATGCTCAATAGTGGTTGTGAGGAGCCATAGACGCGCCCCTCAAGAGCACCGAGGCAAGCGCCGGGGGACCCAAAGCCCCAGACGCCCAAAGGGACCCCAAGAGGAAAGGTGCCCAGGAGGGGCCAACCCAGTAAATCCGACCCCCACAAAGGGAGGAGGACAGATGACCTCGAGGAAAACCGCAAGCCTCCGCAATGTCGGAGCCCCCAGGAGCTACGTGGAGTAGTCCACGGGCTCTGCCAGAAACCAGCCACCCCGAAGTGGATCTGGCTATGGACCCCAGGGACCTGAGGCCCCAGGGTTGCCCACCTGTCAGCGGGAACCCCGGCCGGGCCCAGGGGGACCTCCTGGATTAGCTGCCAGGAATGAGCCAGTAGCCGCCTGGGCATCCACCCCCAAACACCAAGCACCACCAGTGCACTGGCGAGCCCAGGCGCCAGCCAGCGGAGGGAGGGCAGGATGGGGGGAATGATCTTTGGATGTTCCGGGGAGAGGAAGCAGTTCAGACCCCAACCTGACAAATACAACGAAAAAATAAATATCACAGCATTAGTTTAAACCTTATTCATGGTTCAGTTAAAACTGATGCTTTATTTTACATTTTTATCTTTATTACAGAAAACTTTAGATTCTTGTTAAAAGCCTCAAAGTTATTTCGTGACTAACAGAATTTACTGAGTATCATCTGCATACATGGTAATACATGGCTCAGCACTGGGAGGGACTCTTAGCACTATGAGGGACTCGTTCAACACTGGGAGGGACTCGTTCAGCACTGGGAGGGACTCGCTCAGCACTGGGAGGGACTCGTTCAGCACTGGGAGGGACTCGCTAAGCACTGGGAGGGACTCGCTCAGCACTATGAGGGACTCGTTCAACACTGGGAGGGACTCGCTCAGCACTGGGAGGGACTCGCTCAGCACTATGAGGGGCTCGTTCAGCACTGGGAGGGACTCGTTCAGCACTGGGAGGGACTCGCTCAGCACTATGAGGGACTCGTTCAGCACTGGGAGGGACTCGTTCAGCACTGGGAGGGACTCGTTCAGCACTGGTAGGGACTCGTTCAACACTGGGAGGGACTCGTTCAACACTGGGAGGGACTCGCTCAGCACTATGAGGGACTCGTTCAACACTGGGAGGGACTCGCTCAGCACTGGGAGGGACTCGCTCAGCACTATGAGGGACTCGTTCAGCACTGGTAGGGACTCGTTCAACACTGGGAGGGACTCGCTCAGCACTGGGAGGGACTCGTTCAACACTGGGAGGGACTCGTTCAGCACTGGTAGGGACTCGTTCAACACTGGGAGGGACTCGCTCAGCACTGGGAGGGACTCGTTCAACACTGGGAGGGACTCGCTCAGCACTATGAGGGACTCGTTCAACACTGGGAGGGACTCGTTCAGCACTGGTAGGGACTCGCTCAGCACTGGGAGGGACTCGTTCAACACCGGGAGGGACTCGTTCAGCACTGGTAGGGACTCGTTCAGCACTGGGAGGGACTCGCTCAGCACTGGGAGGGACTCGTTCAACACTGGGAGGGACTCGTTCAGCACTGGTAGGGACTCGTTCAACACTGGGAGGGACTCGTTCAGCACTGGTAGGGACTCGCTCAGCACTGGGAGGGACTCGTTCAACACCGGGAGGGACTCGTTCAGCACTGGTAGGGACTCGTTCAGCACTGGGAGGGACTCGCTCAGCACTGGGAGGGACTCGTTCAACACTGGGAGGGACTCGTTCAGCACTGGTAGGGACTCGTTCAACACTATGAGGGACTCGTTCAACACTGGGAGGGACTCGCTCAGCACTGGGAGGGACTCGTTCAACACTGGGAGGGACTCGCTCAGCACTATGAGGGACTCGTTCAACACTGGGAGGGACTCGTTCAGCACTGGTAGGGACTCGCTCAGCACTGGGAGGGACTCGTTCAACACTGGGAGGGACTCGCTCAGCACTGGGAAGGACTCGTTCAACACTGGGAGGGACTCGCTCAGCACTGGGAAGGACTCGTTCAACACTGGGAGGGACTCGCTCAGCACTGGGAGGGACTCGTTCAACACTGGGAGGGACTCGCTCAGCACTGGGAGGGACTCGTTCAACACTGGGAGGGACTCGCTCAGCACTATGAGGGACTCGTTCAACACTGGGAGGGACTCGTTCAGCACTGGGAGGGACTCGCTCAGCACTGGGAGGGACTCGTTCAACACTGGGAGGGACTCGCTCAGCACTGGGAGGGACTCGTTCAACACTGGGAGGGACTCGTTCAACACTGGGAGGGACTCGTTCAGCACTGGGAGGGACTCGTTCAACACTGGGAGGGACTCGCTCAGCACTGGGAGGGACTCGTTCAACACTGGGAGGGACTCGTTCAACACTGGGAGGGACTCGCTCAGCACTATGAGGGACTCGTTCAACACTGGGAGGGACTCGTTCAACACTGGGAGGGACTCGTTCAACACTGGGAGGGACTCGCTCAGCACTATGAGGGACTCGCTCAGCACTGGGAGGGACTCGTTCAACACTGGGAGGGACTCGTTCAACACTGGGAGGGACTCGTTCAACAATGGGAGGGACTCGCTCAGCACTATGAGGGACTCGCTCAGCACTGGGAGGGACTCGCTCAACACTGGGAGGGACTCGTTCAACACTGGGAGGGACTCGCTCAGCACTATGAGGGACTCGTTCAACACTGGGAGGGACTCGTTCAACACTGGGAGGGACTTGCTCAGCACTGGGAAGGACTCGTTCAACACTGGGAGGGACTCGCTCAGCACTATGAGGGACTCGTTCAACACTGGGAGGGACTCGTTCAACACTGGGAGGGACTCGCTCAGCACTGGGAGGGACTCGTTCAACACTGGGAGGGACTCGCTCAGCACTGGGAGGGACTCGTTCAACACTGGGAGGGACTCGCTCAGCACTATGAGGGACTCGTTCAACACTGGGAGGGACTCGTTCAACACTGGGAGGGACTCGTTCAACACTGGGAGGGACTCGCTCAGCACTGGGAAGGACTCGTTCAACACTGGGAGGGACTCGCTCAGCACTATGAGGGACTCGTTCAACACTGGGAGGGACTCGTTCAACACTGGGAGGGACTCGCTCAGCACTGGGAGGGACTCGTTCAACACTGGGAGGGACTCGCTCAGCACTGGGAGGGACTCGTTCAACACTGGGAGGGACTCGCTCAGCACTGGGAGGGACTCGTTCAACACTGGGAGGGACTCGCTCAGCACTGGGAGGGACTCGTTCAACACTGGGAGGGACTCGCTCAGCACTGGGAGGGACTCGTTCAACACTGGGAGGGACTCGCTCAGCACTATGAGGGACTCGTTCAACACTGGGAGGGACTCGTTCAGCACTGGGAGGGACTCGCTCAGCACTGGGAGGGACTCGTTCAACACTGGGAGGGACTCGCTCAGCACTGGGAGGGACTCGTTCAACACTGGGAGGGACTCGCTCAGCACTATGAGGGACTCGTTCAACACTGGGAGGGACTCGTTCAACACTGGGAGGGACTCGCTCAGCACTGGGAGGGACTCGTTCAACACTGGGAGGGACTCGCTCAGCACTGGGAGGGACTCGTTCAACACTGGGAGGGACTCGCTCAGCACTGGGAGGGACTCGTTCAACACTGGGAGGGACTCGCTCAGCACTATGAGGGACTCGTTCAACACTGGGAGGGACTCGTTCAGCACTGGGAGGGACTCGCTCAGCACTGGGAGGGACTCGTTCAACACTGGGAGGGACTCGCTCAGCACTGGGAGGGACTCGTTCAACACTGGGAGGGACTCGCTCAGCACTATGAGGGACTCGTTCAACACTGGGAGGGACTCGTTCAACACTGGGAGGGACTCGTTCAGCACTGGGAGGGACTCGTTCAACACTGGGAGGGACTCGCTCAGCACTGGGAGGGACTCGTTCAACACTGGGAGGGACTCGTTCAACACTGGGAGGGACTCGCTCAGCACTATGAGGGACTCGTTCAACACTGGGAGGGACTCGCTCAGCACTGGGAGGGACTCGTTCAACACTGGGAGGGACTCGTTCAACACTGGGAGGGACTCGTTCAGCACTGGGAGGGACTCGTTCAACACTGGGAGGGACTCGTTCAACACTGGGAGGGACTCGCTCAGCACTATGAGGGACTCGTTCAGCACTGGTAGGGACTCGCTCAGCACTATGAGGGACTCGTTCAACACTGGGAGGGACTCGTTCAACACTGGGAGGGACTTGCTCAGCACTGGGAGGGACTCGTTCAACACTGGGAGGGACTCGCTCAGCACTATGAGGGACTCGTTCAACACTGGGAGGGACTCGTTCAACACTGGGAGGGACTTGCTCAGCACTGGGAAGGACTCGTTCAACACTGGGAGGGACTCGCTCAGCACTATGAGGGACTCGTTCAACACTGGGAGGGACTCGTTCAACACTGGGAGGGACTCGCTCAGCACTGGGAGGGACTCGTTCAACACTGGGAGGGACTCGCTCAGCACTGGGAGGGACTCGTTCAACACTGGGAGGGACTCGTTCAACACTGGGAGGGACTCGTTCAGCACTGGGAGGGACTCGTTCAACACTGGGAGGGACTCGTTCAACACTGGGAGGGACTCGTTCAACACTGGGAGGGACTCGCTCAGCACTGGGAGGGACTCGTTCAACACTGGGAGGGACTCGCTCAGCACTGGGAAGGACTCGTTCAACACTGGGAGGGACTCGCTCAGCACTATGAGGGACTCGTTCAACACTGGGAGGGACTCGTTCAACACTGGGAGGGACTCGTTCAACACTGGGAGGGACTCGCTCAACACTGGGAGGGACTCGCTCAGCACTGGGAAGGACTCGTTCAACACTGGTCTTTCATTATGGTCCCAGTGAGCCTGACTTCAGCAGCTCTGAGAACCTCAGAGAAAAGCTGGATCCCTGTTTTATCTTAATGGTCTGATGACGCGTTCAAGCTCCCTTGAACATTTCAAGCTTTTAGAAAAACTCACAGCAGGTTTTATTTGTTTTTGTTTATTTGTTCATGTGCGTTTTGGCCGGCCTTATTTTCCCCGTGTCTCTCGCAACACGTCAGGTGACTTCAGTGAAATCCCAGGTAAAATAATCCGCCACCCGCCGCCTTTCCCATCACAGCAAACACCCTGAAAACCAGAGACAACCAGAATGATGCTGATGTTTCACACCGGAGGTGTGTGTGACTTTTAGCCAATAGAACAAGACAATTTACATTTAAAATAGGAAAAAAAACAATTGCATTGTCTTATTTCAAGTGCATATTATCCAATTATCCTTTTCTAAGAGTAAAAATATCTATTGTATTGGCAGAGCATCTTATTTACCTACTTAAATTAAGGGTAAATACACTTAATTTAAGAAAGGTTTACTTATTTCTAGATGGTTTTTGCAGTGCAGAGTAAATATGTTGGAAATATCTGGTCTGGTTCTCACAGTGTTTGTCAGCTGCTCACATCCTCCAACTGCTCGTATCGCTCTGAAGCTCTGCCATCATAGTTTGACCTCTGACCTCATTAAAGCTGACATCACATCCTGTGTGGTTTTTCCACATGCAGGTACCAATCCCTCTATCCATGTGTGGGACGCCATGAGCAAACAGACTCTGTCTGTCCTCCGCTCCTCCCACGCCAAAGGAGTCGGCTACTTGAACTTCAGCGCCACGGGGAAGCTGCTGCTGTCTGTCGGTGTCGAACCTGAACACACCATCACTGTGTGGCGCTGGCAGGAAGGTCTGGCTGGTTTAAGATTAACAATGAGGGTTTTAGGCATTTATTTATTCTTTATTCCTGTGTTTTTTTTTTTTTTCAATCCCTTCAGCTTTGCTGTGTTCAATTCAATTTAGTTTATTTATATAGCTCCAATTAAAAAAATGTCAAAACAAGGCACTTTACAATTAAACCAGATCATCCAGTCAGATTGATTCAAAGTTTTCTCTCTAAGGAAAACCAGCTGATTGCATCGACTCATTGACTCTTCAGCAATCCCTCACACTAAGCATGCTTGACGAGCTCCGAGCCAGCTCCCATGTCAGAGGATGAAGAGAGCACATCCAGTTAGTCACAGTCAGAGAAACAGGACTACACTGGAAAACAGAGTGAAAATGGGGGTCCCTATGTCCTCCAGCAGTCTAAGCCTATAGCAGCAGAATTATAGAGATAGATCAGGATAACCTGAGCCACTCTAACTAGAAGCTTTATCAAAAAGGAAAGTTTTAAGCCTAGCCTTAAAAGTAGACAGGGTGTCTGCCTCACGGACTAAAACTGGTAGTTGGTTCCACAGGAGAGGAGCCTGAGAACTAAAAGATCTGCCTCCCATTCTACTTTTAGAAATTCTAGGAACCACTAGTAAACCTGCAGATTGAGAGCGAAGTGCTCTGTTAGGAACATAAGGAACAATCAGATCTCTGATATCAGATGGAGCTTGGCCATTTAAGGCTTTATATGTGAGAAGGAGGATTTTAAATTCTATTCTGGATTTAACAGGAAGCCAATGAAGAGAAGCCAGTGTTATCAGATCAGATCAACAGGAGGTTAAAACCAAAACCTCTCTTTCAGGATCCAGGGTTTGCAGCAAAGCCGGACATCCTGACCGGATCTTTGTGGTGGAATTCAGGCCCGACTCGGACACTCAGTTTGTTTCTGTGGGAATCAAACATGTGAAGTTCTGGACTCTGGCTGGAGGTGCTCTGATGTACAAGAAAGGAGTGGTGGGGACGGTGAAGGACGGCAGGATGCAGACCATGCTCTCTGTGGCCTTTGGTGCCGTAAGTTCTTCTTGGTTTATAACGAATGCCACTTCTAAAAACGTGAGAATGAGTCCTGGTGTTTCCTATGGAAGCAGATTTACCCGGTACCGGCTCCAACTGACACCTGCTGATGTTCATCTGTCTATAGAAACGTCCAAAACAGTCACATGATGTTTCATCCACACACCTTTCAAATGAGGCTTTAGCATTTCTAAAACATATTTCAAAATAATTTTTTAACAAGTATTTTTTTTATAGCTTTGTAAACAAAAATCAAATTTAAAATTCCACCTGACATGTGTGACTCTGTGGGAGTAATGCAACAGCAGGTATTCATTTTTAGCCCCGCCCCCTAATGGCGGCATCATTGGAAACTGGAGGCTCAGACCTTTCCAAGGAGGGGTCAGAGGTCATTGGGCAACTATTTCAGGTGATGTAACCAGCATGCGTTCCATAAGCTGCTCTGTTATTCTTATTTTCTATTCAGTTTGGTGAAATTATTGCGGCTAACGGCTAGATCTTAGGAATAAAGACTTATGCAGAAGGTCTCCAATAATGTAAATCAGCATATTTGTCTGACCAGATTCCCTTTTGTGAGTGGAAAAATGCATTTTTGCACATTTGGCACCACTGTGCCAAAAATTCCATTTCCTCCCAGCACACCGCCCTCTAAAACCTTTGTGGAACAAACCGACTTCAACATAATCAGTCCAAATTTGTTTGACTTATAGTGAAGATGTGGATCTATAAAGTCTGAGGGTTCATCCAGAGTTTCAAATGGGCTTTCATGGTATTTTAAAGTGTTTATTTTGGAAAATAAATATGGTGAGGCTAAATAACCTATAATCACCTATAAATTAGACATGGTGACATTTGAAATAATGGCTCCACCTGAAAAATATTCCTCATCGCCTTTCTGTTATACAAATACAAACTATTGTATTTCCTATTTATAGTTTGGGAGGGCGGAACAGGGTTTACCCAGAATTGTTTGTAGGTGAACGGAGAAACTGGCTGCCACTCAGATTTCCTGTGGTACTTGAACGGGTCGTAGTGGAGATGAATCCCTTTCTCAGTGTGAAGCTCCTGTTTGAACCCCAGCTCAGTTTGAAGCTAAGTTGATCCTTCCAGGGAGAGAAGGTCCGAAAAATCCAGTTTGCAGGATGACAAAACAATGTTAAAACTCAGCTTGACAAAAACTCAGTTAGACTCAGCAAAACTCAGCTTGGCTAGAGTCCCCAAAACTGGCAAACACTCTGCCGCGAGGTAGTGACAGTCAGCAGCTTAAGAACGCTCCGTTAACGAGGAAACCATCAGCAGGTGTGTGAGGAGGCGGACCAGAGGCAGGCGCCTCCTGCTGGAGGAAGGGAGACAAACACAAACACACAGACAGGAGTCCTGACAATTATTATTCAATTGTAATAATAAAATAAAAATCACACAAACAGAAAGGTTCCATGATAGACCAAGCTTAAATATAAAAAGTATCGTATCGATATCGGTAATGCTGACCCTGTATTTACTTGGTATCGCCTACCTCTAATTCATAGAACAACCTGACGTTTACCGGCGCCATCAACGGGGACGTGTACGTGTGGCGAGATCACTTCCTGCTGAGAGTGGTGGCGAAGGCTCACACGGGGCCGGTGTTCACCATGTACACCACGCTGAGGGACGGGCTCATCGTCACCGGTGGGAAGGAGCGGCCGTGAGTGAGGCGCCGCACAGATCCGGGTTTAAAACTGAATCACTGACATGTTTCTAAATACTTTTACCTCAGATGGTTCCTCTGAGGAACATTTAGTTCCACAGCATCAGATATTCTCAGGTTCTTGGTGAAAAAGATGATTTCCTGTTTAGGAACTAAGGATGTTGAGTCTGTTTTGGTATCTGAGGGTTTTTTTCTGGAACTGTCCATCAGGACCAAAGAGGGCGGAGCGGTGAAGCTGTGGGATCAGGAGATGAAGCGCTGTCGGGCCTTCCAGCTGGAGACGGGTCAGCAGGTGGAGTGTGTCCGATCCGTCTGCAGAGGAAAGGTCGGAGCATTTCTCACCTCCACCCTCCTCCTCCTGGAGCTTCTTCCTCACTGCAGCTCCTCTTCCTCCCCTCAGGGAAAGATCCTGGTGGGGACGAAGGATGGGGAGATCATCGAGGTCGGGGAGAAGAACTCAGCGTGCAACCTGCTGCTGGACAGCCACGCCCGGGGAGGGATCTGGGGTCTGGCTGCTCATCCAATCAGAGAGCTCTGCATCACCGCCAGCGACGACGCCACCATCAGGCTCTGGGACCTCAGTGACAAGGTGACCCTCAGTCCCTCACTCTCATGGATTAGAGCAGAACTTTTAATGTCTCTGCTTATTCCATCACTTTTTGCAGCTTAGTTTGATTAAAAAGCAGAAACACTTTGTTCTTTTCTATTTATCTTCGTGCATTGGGTAACTTATAGTGCTGCAACTAACCATTATTTTGCAAATTAATTAATCTGTTGATTATTATTTCAGTCAATCAATTGATAATCTTACAGCCAAAAGAAACTTTTTTCACTTCAGGAGTTTTGGATGGAGCAGATTGACAATTAATGCTCTTTTTAAAGCAGTAATTATAGATAAACATTTTTAAGTGAGTCACTCTGAAGAATTAAGACACTAAAACATGCTATAGCTGACAGTTAGCGATTAATCGATTACTAAATTAGTTAACAATTATTTCAATAATCCATTAATCTGATTCATTGTTTCAGTACTAGTGACTTTAGCATCTTTGTCATGGTTTGATATCATCTGATGCTTTTTATTCAGTCAGGTGGTTTTAGTAAATCTAGAATAAATGTCTCAAGGGAACATTTTTTAAAGATTCACCAGAGAGCGTTTAGTTCAGGATTGGGCAACTCCAGTCCTGTAGGGCCTATAGGGCCCGTATCCTGGAACTTTTAGATAAGTCCTTGACTTACACCTGAAGTAAATAGATAATTAAAAGGACTAAAAGAAGAAACTGACTGCATACTGTGGAGGTAATTCAACCATTTGATTCAGGTGTGCTGGACAAAGGATGAATCTAAATGTTGCAGGAAACCGGCCCTTAAGCACTGGGGTTGCCCACCCCTGGTTTAGTTATTTAATAAATTGGTAGGTTGGATAAATCCATTAACGTCTCACAGATCCACCTGATGCACTGGAAAAAATGGTAATTTTTCTTAAAATAAGTGAATTTTTTCTTGAATTGAGAAGTTAAGTGAGACGCTTTGCCAATGGAACAAGACAATTTATGTTTAGAATGAAATTTAAAAAATTGCGTTTTATCTAGTTATCATACCTACTCATTCAATTGGCAAATCATCTTATTTAGCTACTCAAATGAAAGGTAAATACACCTAATAAAAGACCTTTGTACTTATTTCTAGATGTTTTTTCCAGTGTGTGTGACAGTTTCTCTCTTTGTGCCCAGAAACTCCTGAACAAAGTGTGCGTTGGCCATGCCGCTCGCTGTGTGAGCTACAGCTCAGATGGAGAGATGCTGGCGGTCGGGATGAAGAACGGAGAGTTCCTCATCCTCCTCTCCAACTCCCTTAAGATCTGGGCAAAGAAGCGAGACCGCAGCGCCAGCCTGCAGGACATCCGGTAGGGGATCCAACGACCGGCATTTAAAACTGAAGGAGATATTCCAGGTTCTGTTGATGGAGAATCTGTCTGCTGCGGCTCTGGTTGCAGCTTCAGCCCTGACCGCCGGTTGTTGGCTGTGGGGTCAGTGGAGAACACGGTGGACGTGTACGACATGAGCGCCGGGCCGACCGTGAGCCGGCTGGTGTACTGCAGCGATATTCCTGCTTTTGTCCTGCAGCTGGACTTCTCTGCAGACAGCTGCTACATTCAGGTTTGACTGCGGCTGCTTCGTGTTTTAAATGTTTTTAAAGATAGAAAAAAGATGCAAACTGTGATCAGGTAACTGGAAAGAAATCGAAATCTAGAGAAGTCATTTTTTCTTAAAATAAAATAAAACAGACATTTTGCCAATAGAACAAGACAATTTACACTTAAAATAAGGAAACACAATTGGATTGTCTCATTTCAACAGAGTAATCATATGCAATCCATTGGCACTTAATTTAAGACATTTTTGACTTATTTCTGGATTCTGTATACAGTGCATGTCAGTACCAGCTCCCTGGAACAAGTTCAGCAGAATAAATCATCCATTAGTTTATCTGATAAGCGTCCACATACTCAGACATGTCCTGACCTGCAGACTGTGATGCCTTCAGGTGTCGACCGGAGCCTACAGACGGCTTGTGTTTGAGGTTCCTTCAGGAAAGCTCCTGAGTGAGCAGAGCACCATCGACAGAATCACCTGGGCGACGTGGACCAGGTAACCCCACCTGCCATCCATCCACCCAGTCGGTAACTGTTACCATGGCTCTGAAGCTTCTCTCCTACATCTCTTCTGCAGCATTCTGGGAGAGGAAGTTCTGGGAATTTGGCCCCGGAATGCCGACAAAGCTGACGTGATCTGCGCCTGCGTGTCTCACGCCGGACTGAACGTTGTCAGCGGGGACGACTTCGGATTGATCAAACTCTTTGACTTCCCCTGCACAGAGAAGTTTGTGAGTTTCCATCCCAAATAAAACTGCAGATAATCTGAAACTTCATCATATATTTGAAATATTCAATCGCATGTGAAATATAAGTCTGTTAAATAATGGCTTCATTGGCCCATATTGACCAAGATGTTGAATGGCTCTGTGGTTTTACGCTGAAAGAGTTTCTTTCCAGTTAAATTGGTTTTAAAAGCCAACTGCAGAGAATGGACTCAATGTGCTATCCAACAGAACCTTTCCATTATAGCTAACCATTGGACCAGGACATCACTGCTTCCTGGCTTGTATTAGATAAACTGGGATTAATGGACCAATCGGAAGCAGGCTGGTTGCCCAGGTTACCCTGACTCCCACTGGTTACCCCAGAGGATTTAAAACAATCTTTAACCTTATTGATATTAATGATTCCATGCCTCTGAATGGAACCAGGTGGTTTGATCTCAAACGTTATTATCGTATATTAAATTATGCTGCAGCACATTAAACCAGGTTCTTGTTGTTTCGGGCTGCAGGCCAAACACAAGCGCTACCTCGGCCACTCGCCTCATGTGACCAACATCCGGTTCTCCCATGACGACAAATATGTGATCAGCACAGGAGGAGACGACTGCAGGTAGGCTGATCTTTCATCAGAACCAATTAGCGCCATGCTACACTGACCAGAACCAATCAGAACTAAACAAACGGCTGCTCCAAACGTTGCATTTCTGAATTCTCCCGAGTGGTGCCCGAATTTACACGAGTGAATAAAGTGAATGTGATTGGTCGATTATCAAGGGGGCGGGATTGTTGTGGCGGAAGGTTCGCAAGCAATTTTGATTGTAGCCGGTTTGTGGGAAGCATCATGCTAACCAGTTAGCATCTTAGTGCTAGCAGGTTCCCAATGGGAAATTCCATTGGGACCAAGTAGCACTAAATTGGTGACTTAGAAACGACGCTGTCAAGGAACGCTATGGACAGAGGAAACATGCAAGAGGAGGAGAGTTTAGTGTCGGAGGTCGTGGATGAGTCTCCTCCGTTTCCTTTCAATAGAGCGCTCACAGAGCTCAGAGTACGAAGTTAAAATTTCTATTTTCTGTTGCTGTTGTTCAATAAAAGATTATTAAATATATATTTCTACCTCCATTTGCTAAACATCAGGAATTTATTTTCTGTCGCTATACAAATCCAAATCATTTTTTTTTTGAGAAAGTCAGTCGTATAATACATATTTTCTTAGCAGTAACTGAAAGCTCATTGGCTTACATTTATTTGATCCTCACCAGTTTCCAGGTAACATTTTTAATCTCTGTTTTATTGCAGCGTCTTTGTGTGGAAATGTCTTTAAACATCTGGATCTGAAGCGCCTTAACAGAAGAATCCGTCACTGGTTCTTCCTCCACGAACCGCCCAAGCGACGCTGCTCTGCTGAGGTTTCCAGGTGGTCAGGTGTCTTCCTCTGACTGCAGCGCCTCCTAGAGGTGGAGAAATGTCTGCATCTGTGGTGGGGAAATCGTTGGATCATTGCAGCTTATCTCTACCTGGACTCTGTCGATCTGTTCTCTCTGGTCATTATATGATTTTATAATTAAATTTAATATTAATTAGCTTGTTGCTGCAACATCAACCATGTACAGTAGTAGCCATTCAAAATTTCCCACTTTCCTTGATGGGTCCTTGGCTAATCCTTGGCTAATCTTTGGTTAGTTCTTGGCCAGTCCATGGTTAGTCCTTGGTTAGTCTTTGGCTGGTCCTTGGCCAGTCCTTGGTTAGTCCTTGGTTAGTCTTTGTCTGGTCCTTAGCCAGTCCTTGGTTAGTCCTTGGTTAGTCTTTGGCTGGTCCTTGGCCAGTCCTTGGTTAGTCTTTGTCTGGTGCTTAGCCAGTCCTTAGTTAGTTCTTCGTTAGTCTTTGGTTAGTGCTTGGATGGTTCTTAGCCAGTCCTTGGTTAGTCTTTGTCTGGTCCTTGGCCAGTCCTTGGTTAGTCCTTGGTAAGTCTTTGGCTGATCCTTGGTTAGTCTTTGGCTAGTCCTTAGCCAGTCCTTGGTTAGTCTTTGTCTGGTCCTTGGCCAGTCCTTGGTTAGTCCTTGGTTAGTCTTTGGCTAGTGCTTGGCTGGTCCTTGGTTAGTCTTTGGCTGATCCTTGGTTAGTCTTTGGCTAGTCCTTGGCCAGTCCTTGGTTAGTCCTTGGTTAGTCTTTGTCTGGTCCTTGGCCAGTCCTTGGTTAGTCCTTGGTTAGTCTTTGGCTAGTGCTTGACTGGTCCTTGGATGGTCCTTGGCTGTTCCTCTACTATTCATTTTTAAACATCTAAAATATTCTATCTGTCATGATTTGTCGACATTGAGATCTTAAGAAAAGCGCCATCTCCTGGTCAGACCCTGTAATTCAGTGAAAGGGTGGAGTCAGAGTAAATAAATATGGCTGCCTAGGTGAAGGTCAGTGGCTGGAAGTTGGAGGGGATTTTGCTGCCATTCGGCTGCCTTTTAACTGGGAAGGGCCATTTTGAATGGCTGCTACTGTATAATGTGCACAGTAGCCATGTTGGATTGAAGAGTGGGGCTGAAAGCTTAAATATTTGTTCCAAAATACCTCAAAGTAAAGAGGTAATTAGCTCTGGTTGCTCCAGTTTCAGAAATGTTGAGGAAAAACTGCGATTCTTCCTGAAACTACAGAAAAACTACATTTAATGAGTCCTTCAACCCGACGAGGTCGGATCAAAGCAGAAAAACTGCTTACAAATTAATTAAAAAAAACATCTAAAGATGTGAAATTATAAGAACACCTTTATGTGAACTTAAATGATTTTAGTGAAAAAAGACTCAGAGAATATCAGAGCCGGTTTGATTTCAACAAAAACCTGCAAAATCAATAAATATGAAGTTTGGTGTTTCTGGTTTATCTTCAGGATAATTTTCTGTTGGTTCTGATCCAATCAGCACCTGTGGGAGGTTCTGAACTGTTGCCTGAATGATGAACCTTGAACCAGAGACTCTAAGACCCTGAAATCACCATTTCTCAACAAACTTTTTCTGAAAAAAACCAAACTGATGGTCGGTTTTCAGCTGCTGCATCTGGACACATCTCCCCAAAGTGCCTTTCTGGATCTTTGTAACGATGTTCGTCTCGTTTATTTTGGAGCAGGTCAAGTTTTTATATGTTGTATTTCTTTATTTTTCTAAATCCTTGGATGTGCTTCTGTCTGGTGCTACTCTCTGAATGTTCAACCTGATGAGGCAGAAGAAGCATGTGGCCGTGCTGCTTCTATGAGACTGAAACGAATCCAAAGCATCGTGTTCAGACACAGAGAGAAGAATATTTCCCTTATTTCTGCCTGATGTAAACGTGTGGATGAATTCTCCGTGTTGAATATTTACTGTTACTGTGAAACGTCTCAGACTGTTTGTGTAAAAGGAGCAAAAAGAAAAAAGTCCAACAGGTTTTATTTTGAAATGTTTCTTTATTTTTCTCCATGCAAACACACAGACGCACAAACTGCTGCAGACTGACGCTAAGGTAGATCATCATGAGCCTCAGAGGGAAAAGGCATCAATTTATTCAGAATTGTTGATCTATTGTTGATCAATCTATTATATAGGATTTAATATCTATGTCAGATTTACTGCATATTTTGCAGAGCTTGAAGGAAACTTATAATGAATTATGAATAATTTTCCTCCTGGAATCACGGACTGATCAAACACCTGCAGACTACTTTATCGCAGCGAACATCAGTTTCTTCTTGCAGGAGGTGTAATTGGTTTTATTCTGTTCATCCGTTTCTATTTGCATGTTTTCTAAACTAAATCCAGGCTTTGTTGGGCTGCTGGATAAAACCTGGAACTAAACGCTATTTCTGACATTTTGAATTGAAGAAGCTTCCTGGATGGAAGAGAAACGTCTTCAAACTTGGAAACAAAGTCCAGTGGATTATTTTTTAACTTTTTTTGGAATCGTTTAATTGGTTTTGCTGATTTATAAAATCACTGAAACTCATCAGAAAATCTTTATAGCATTTTTTTTGGAGGAACCTGCATCCCTTAAACGGAGCCGTCCATGAACCTCAGGTCCCTTCAGATTGGAAAATAAATTTCAGAATCAGAAATACTTTAATAATCCCATAGGGAAATTACTTTTGTTACACGCTCCAGTTACAGTTTTACATGATATATATACACACATCCAACTATACAATATAAAGATAAAAAATAAGAATAAAAAGAGATAAAATATATACACATATAGCTCTTCTGTACGTATATCTCTGCATATGTAAAAACTAAATCCAAATAAAGTGAAAAATCCAAGTAAAGTGAAAAATCCAAGTAAAGTGAAAAATCCAAATAAAGTGAAAAATCCAAATAAAGTGAAAAATCCATGTAAAGTGATAAATCCAAGAAAAGTGATAAATCCAAGAAAAGTGATAAATCCAAGAAAAGTGATACGTGGCGTGCAAAAATAGTGCATAAATGTCATTTACGAAACTTTGTTTGCGATCTAAGAAAAATATGTTTTTTTTCTTAAAGTACGTGTAACGTCCTCTGATAAGAATGCTTATGAGTAAGATAATTTGCCAATTGAATAAGATGATTTATTAAAAAAAAAAAAACCTCCACTGTCTTACTTCTACTACATAATATTTAATTATCATGTTTTAAAGACAAATTCCTAATTCCAATTGGAATCTTCTTGTTTTACCTGCTTAAATTAAGTGCAAATATAATCATTTTAATTTAATTTATTTTAAATAAAATTTTGCAAAACATAACTAGAGAGTTTGGATTTTTTTATGATTCTAATCCTTGTTTGGTCCTAAATTAGAAAAGAATTAGCAGATTTCACCATTGTAATGAAAATATTTTAGGGAGCAAACTTCAATTAGAAAGCAGAGATCAGGCAGCGCTGCATCAACCATCAGGACGGTCCTGCTGCAAAGTAAGTACTGCCTCTTTAATTCCTGCTCTGCTTCTGAGTTTTAGGTGCTGCACAAGATCAGAAATCAACATTCCAGATCTGTCCGTGAACCAGGAGCTGCTATAAAATCAGTTTTAAGGAAAATATTTGAGTTGCTCTAAAACATGAAAAGATGAATTGGTTTTAAAAAAGAAACCGTCACGTTTCTACTGTGCTGTGTGATGATTTCCCAACAATAAATGTTCTTCATGGAAGGAATAAATGTCTGAATCACTGATTTGATTTTCTTTATTAACTTTTCTCTGACCCAACCAATGTTACATTCAGAGACCTGAAGGACCAGATCCCCTATAGAATCATTCTATCAGCCCTTTAAAGCTTTTAAATCAACTCATTTCATGGAAACCTTTTAATCAGCTTTCATGAAATGAGTTTTCTCTTTCGTGTGCCAAAGTTACTTCCGTGATCTATGTAAAATTATCAGCTGAATGAAATGTTTGTCTGCTGTTTGGCTTGCAGCAGTTCTCTTACCTGGTTCTTCCTGACCTTTCATTTTGCGCACCTGGCTCCTCTGCTCCCCCTTCTACACCTCTCCCTCTTTAGACTGGCAATCAAAATGGATTATAAATTCAAATAATGCCTAGAAACCTAAAAAATTTTAACGATTTACTAATGATTCAGTAAATTCAAATATTGGTGTTGAGTTGTGGTTTTAAGATAATCAAACAAACCCGTCTCAGACCCATTAGAGGACCTCACTAGTGAACATTTCACCAGCACACCATTAATAGGTGCAGAAATCTGGCTGAACATTTCAGAAAACACCTGAATGCAGATAAAGGAGCTCCATCAGGCTTGTTTACTTGTTTTTTGTTTTGTTTATAATTTCTGACAAAGCAGAACATAATTGAAGAGGTTAAATAACCAATTTTACAATAACACATTTGTTTGTTTTTTATTGTAAAAAGCACATACAGTATTAAGAAACAACTCATATTTTAGGGCTGCTTTGATCAAATTAGGGTTTTCTCCATCACCCCCAAAAATAGGCTATAAACGCCTCCTGCAAACTGCTGCGCCAATTCTCCATATTTCCTAACTTAGACTCTCAATCCTCTGCGCGCTTCCTCATTTCCCAAAGAGATGAAGCGGAGCAAATTCAAATGAGGGCGCACATGAGCGCGTGTGGAGCGACATTTGTGCCTTCTTCTGTTTGAGCAAGCAGGATCCAGTCCGCGCGCTCCAAACCGGTCTGGTGCGCGCGCGCTCATCTCTAAAAACCTCCGCGCGTTTTCCCGCTGCGCTCTCAAACTGGTTCCTGCTCGCTCCAACAGAAGGCTCACATGTATAGGATTTCCTGAAAGCGCGTTCACGAGTCTACGGAAGCCGGCAGACCAAACCAGATGAAAGTGCGCATTCAGCTCGGCAAAGAACTCATGCTCTTCCTCAACACTGAAGTCCTCAGACATTTTTCTTTCGTTGTTTCTTTCTTTGCACAGGTAAACAGCACATTTCTTCTTCTACGCTTGCATTATCGGCAGAGCAGACGCTGAATGCGCACTTTCATCTGGTTTGGTCTGCCTGCTTCCGTAGACTTGTGAACGCGCTTTCAGGAAATACTATACACTACTGTTTATGCTCTAAAAACATTCTAAATGACTTCGTTTCGAGTAAATTCTGGACGCTACCCACTCAGGACACTTGGAATACATTGGACGAGCAGTATGGAGGAATATTGACACGTTTTTTGTGGACTTTTATGGACCTTTCTGCCTCGGGCGCCATAGACCTCCATTATTTGAATGTCAGCAGACAGCAAGAAGCCTCCCAGATCTCCAGATGCATTTGAGATATCAAAAAAGTACTCCAGAGTGTTGTTCAGCATGGGGGTGAGTAGAAAATGAAGGCTAATCATGTTTTGGGTGTACTATTCCTTTAAGTACTTTAATGAGATTTCAAAGCAATGGTATCACTGGTACCTCCAGTATTTCAAATTTTATGGTTAGTTTAAAGAAGGCAGTTTTCAGTTTCCATTCAACTGCAGCTACAACCAATTCTAATTTGTTTAAATTTACTAAATGTTACTTAAACCATTGTTGTTGGGTTTTTTCTACTCATAATAGTTAAGAGTTTGTTCCTCTCAGTTCCTCATGTTGTCATCGTGTGTTGAATTGTGTGTCTGCAGGTTGTCAGGCTGTCTGATCTCAGAGGAAGGCTGTGCTTCTCTGGCCTCAGCTCTGAGCTCCAACCCCTCCCATCTGAAATGAGAAACGGCTTGAATAGGCAGATATTTTCAGGACTTCATGTAAACAAACCAGAATTTAATGAAATCTGTTTTCTGTCAGGTTCCATGAAAAACAGAATCTGGAAAAGCCTCCGGATGAACAATCAGAACCTACCTGTGTGTCCTATAAAAGTGGCAGGTCAAGGACACCTCCTTATAACTTTAGATCTCCCAGCACTTCATCCTCTGAGAGGTGAGCTGGATCTTACTGCTGTAACAGTCAAGATTGTGAAATGTTTACGTGTTTAAGGTCAGCTCTACTGATAGATTCTAGAGAATGCCAACAGAGTGTCAAGCAGTAATCAAAGCAAAAGGTGGCTACTTTGAAGAACCTCGAATATAAGACATATTTTTAGTGTTTTCACACTTTTTTATTAAGTAAATAATTCCACATGTATTAATTCTTAGTTTTGATACCTTCAGTGTGAATCTTTCAATTTCATAGTAATGAAAATAAAGAAAACTCTTTGAATGAGAAGGTGTGTCCAAACTTTTGGTCTGTATTGTATATGTAGGAAATGTACTTTTTCCTATATACAGAAAAAAAAATATTTTTAATACTTATTTATAATACAAATTTGTTGCTGTTTCTGAGCTTGAACATTAATGTAAGTAAACATTAACCGTACCAGGGATTAATGCCAGATATCCCCTCAGAGACCTTTATTTTGTGTTTGTCTCTGTGAACAGAGAAAACAAGATCAAATTGTTCCTGGTTCCTCCACAGTGTAGACCTTCAGAATCCAGAGACTCCCAGGGTTTGCCCTGCCCCGCAACATCAAACCCAGCTGGACTCCATATTTACGGTCTGTACATGTACAGGAACTGTTTTTCCACAGGTTCCCTATAGTCATTAGCATGCTGCTATTTCAAGACCAGAAGTCTGTTTTACTTAGCAGGTTTGAGAAACAAGAATTAAAATCCTCTTGAACTTGAATTGCTCTAGCCTGATCTTTGAAACTTTCACAACAGCTGTTGTGAGTTAGTTTAATCAACTTTGAGTAGGTTTACTTGGAGTCAAGCATGTGTGTAACAGCTATGAAAAACCACTATCAGTGGAGCCCATCTTTAACGAGTCACCGTGACTACAGGTAACATGAACTGTTGCCTGTTTCACACCATGAAACTAGATATTTATTGAAGAATTAGAAAAAAAATATTGTATAATTTTGTTTTTTAAAGAAAGATCAACAGCACTATAGCTGCAAAGGACAGGGGCATGGAGTCTTAGACTATCTTAGACTTGATTGGCTTTGTTCAAAATGAGAGTAATCCAACACATTCTCCTCTTCATACTTGGGACCTTGGGCTGACATATTGAATGTGAAGATATTACAGTATTTTCTCACAACCCTGTCCTCTCTGACCGCTTTTTAATAACCGTCAGGATTCATTTAACAGAGCTAGATTTAGAGACTTAGACTCATCTTCATTTATCCTATGGGTTTACTCCTTCATGGTAATTATGGTTCCAGTAGCTTATATGGAGTACAAAGAGTAAAGTTAAAGCAACATGCCACTAAAAAGTAAAAATACAACAGTCAATATAAAGGAGTGCATATGGGGGAAAAGCGTATAAAAAACGTTGTAAATATTGCCTTTAGATATAAAACTATCTGCACAGTAAAGAGACAAGGAAAGACTACACAGTAGTTGACTTAGAATACTGCACTTGTACTGCAGAGATGCACTGACCAGATAATTTATTTTATTAAATTTTTTTAACAGTGTCCTGTCTGGCGATGTGGCAATAAGAATAATTGAATAATAAGAAAAACACACAGTCTCAATCATGCCTTCCCACCTTAGTGCCCCCACTCACACCCCACAGAAGATGAGCCAAAAAAAAAGGGGCAGACGCACATTCACACATAACACTCACATCCAATAATCCCAGGACCAAGGACCCGGCAGAACCCGTGGTTGGTCCCGGGATTATTGGACGACCCAATAAGTGAACCTAAAATCCAAATGGGGGGAGGGGAGCAGTGACACCGCCACACTAACTCATCTCGTTCCTGCTTCAAGCCCGGTCCAGCACCCGGACCAGACCACCCCAAGCAAAAGCCCCTGAGATCAGGCCCACATGCCCCGCACAGGCCACCCAACCAGAGCTTAACACCCCACCCCCCCTAAATAATTCACCCATCCACTTCTTCCCCTCAGTTTGCTACACGCCCCTCCCTCCATTCTCCTCTTCAGCCCCCTGCCAAGACCACGTACCAGGCCGCCCGCTCTTCCTCCAGGCTCCAGACTCCGGGCGGCAGTCGGAGAACAGGGGTGTGAGGAGACCCCAATCCTCCGGACGCCTGCTCAAATGTGGTGTTGTTGCGTTTTGCTCTCAGGTGTAATTAAAACTGGGAGTACCAAAAGGGGGTGTCCAACACAGTCCACCCCCCCTCTGGGAGATAGGCGGTGCCAGCGCACCCCCCCCCCCCCCCAATCGACAACCCAGAACCCTCAATGTCTAAATGCGAGAAGGGGTGGGGCCAATAAAAATAAGCCCAGACCTCGGGGCCCTTGACCCCCATCCCCCTAGACAATGCCCTACATAGATGTGTGTTGTGACGTTTCACTTCCCATCTAGAAACTTTTTTCAGTGCCAGAAATAGGGTTGCGTTTGAGGCTTTATAGAGTGGACCAAAGACAAAGTCTTGTTTTGGCTTGAGAAAAAAAAACTGTGCAAATGGAACCAGTCTAGTTCAATTTGCATGTTTTCTAAGGATGTGGGATTACGCTCCCTGGTGCATTTAGGGTGCAGCAGTCTGGCACTGAAGCAGCTCTCCAGTTCTGCAATAGCTTCATGCATGGGGTGGGAAGCATTGAAATGTCTCTGACATTTGATTGAGTCTACACTAACTTGAGAGGGTTAGTGCAGTTAGCCACGTCTCCAACAGGCATAGAACGCTAGCCTCTCGATAGCATCTTTCATGGTGAGTTCAAGCCGCAGCTCATCAACCTTGTTAGAGGGAGATCTGACGTTTCCAATGAGGACGGATGGGATGGTTGGTCTGTACCTCCTTACCTGGTGGTATCAGCTGACTCCCACCCAGCTGCCATGTCTTTTCCTCCTCAGCTCGAGGGGGATATGGGCTCGCTCTGTGGGCGGGAGAAAAGTAGAGCTCCGTAGTGCGAGCAATTGGTCTGGGGGATAAACGATGGGAGCCTGGTCAAATATGCCGACTCCGCTTGCAAAGAAGGCGAAAAAAAGAATGAAAAACAGAGTTTTCCAGACAAACGAGAGCTGCATTATGTTAGAAATATTATGAGAAAGATAGAAGTCACACCAAAAACGGTCAATGGTCTATTGTAAAGGGATCTTGTTTGAACCCTGACCTAAATCACCTAAAAAATCTTTAGAGAGATGGAAAAAGCCACTTGGAAAAGGCAGTCTTCAAAGCCAAGAAAACTGAAGCCATTTAGTCGGAAAACAGGTGTGCAATGAAATATAAAATTGTCATGCTGGGATTAAGATGCCTAACCCACATGCAGAGAACACTCAGGAGACAAAGAAAAGGTTCAAAGGTTTATTCACAAGTTTTACAATTGTGCACTGGAACTGGGTTGGTCCAACTGGTCACGGGGGGATCACCACTATGGAGAACAGAGTGATTAGAGGATTTCCAGGGATCCAGTAGTTTGTCTGATGATCAAGTTAATACCTGCTTCGGGGGCTGAATATATCAGCAGGAGGTGGGTACCCAGAGGGTCCAGAGGTTTGTCGGCAGGCAGAGGGCTGAGGGCTAAGGCAGAGACTGATTGAGTGCGGACAGGCAGATTCCAGAACTGAGTAACTTCCAGGTTTCAGGTTTTCTGACAAATCTGGTTCTGTAGGCAGAGAGAGAGAAATAAACTGGATCAGGCAGGTTCACACAAAAACACAGAGAAAGATCAGGCAGGTTGGCTCAGGTCTAGCTGTACCATTACTGGCTAACGCTCTGGTAATGGAGTGTCAGTCTCCGCCTCCTTAAGTAGGAGCCTCCTGATGAGCAGATAGAAGACAGGTGTTGCAGTCAGCTCATGCTCCCAGGAGATCTCGTACGCCCTCTGGTGGAGAAAAGTGGACAAACCTCCAGATCCCAACAAGAATAAGGGGAACAAACAAACAATTTTGTCCAGGCTTGTTGCGTGACTTTACTTTTTAAAATCATTCTGTTGAAGCATGGGTGAAAAACAGTATATGATTCTCATTGGTCTATTTTCATAGTTTTTATAATCAATTACTTTTGTCAGATTCAGTTTTTTTCTGTGGCCATTGTGGTTTTTATTTAATTAATCAAGGGGTACTGACAATTTTGTCCATGTGTAAATTATTTTCATTGAAGCTCCCGGAGGAAAAAATGATCACATATGTGAGGAATGAGCAGAAGGAGATCCAGAAGGTACTGTGTCCAGATGACCCAGAAAGTCAAAGAGATGATACGGAGGTGTTAAAAGATGAGGATGAAGATCAGAGGATCAACAGCAGAGAAGCATTGATGAAATTCATTATGAACTTTCTCAGGAAGATGAAGCAAGAAGACCTGGCTGACAGTCTACAGAGCAGTAAGAGAGTTTCCCCAGTGATTTAACCTGATTTATAAACAGATTAAGACATGCATATAATCTATTCTTTATTCTTTTAGAAATCTACACAGGACTGTTTCAACATAAGTTTAAATCTAGTCTGAAAAAGAAATACCAGTGTGTAGTTGATGGCATCACTCAAGCAGGAAGTCCAACCCTTCTGAACCAGATCTACACATTGCTCTACATCACAGAGGGAGGAACTGGAGAGGTCAATGAAGAACATGAGGTCAGACAGATTGAAGCAGCATCCAGGAAACCAAACAGACCAGAAACAATAATCAGACCAGAAGACATCTTTAAAGTACCACCTGGAAGAGATCAACCAATCAGAGCAGTGATGACACAGGGAGTGGCTGGCATTGGGAAAACAGTCTTAACCCAGAAGTTCACTCTGGACTGGGCTGAAGGCAAAGCCCACCAGAACATCCAGTTCATATTTCCTTTCACCTTCAGAGAGCTGAATGTGCTGAAAGAGAAAAAGTTCAGCTTGGTGGAACTTGTTCATCACTTCTTCACTGAAACCAAAGGAATCAGCAGCTTTGAAGACTTCCAGGTTCTGATCATCTTGGATGGTCTGGATGAGAGTCGACTTCCTCTGGACTTCACCAACAAGGAGATCCTGACTGATGTTACAGAGTCCACCTCAGTGGATGTTCTGCTGATAAACCTCATCAGGGGGAAACTGCTTCCCTCTGCTCTCCTCTGGATAACCACACGCCCTGCAGCAGCCAATCAGATCCCTGCTCATTGTGTTGGCATGGTGACAGAGGTCAGAGGGTTCAATGACCCACAGAAGGAGGAGTACTTCAGGAAGAGATTCACAGATAGAGGGCAGGCTAACCAGATCATCACCCACATTGAGACATCTAAAAGTCTCTACATCATGTGTCACATCCCAGTGTTCTGTTGGATCACTGCTACGGTTCTGGAGGATCGTTTGAAGACCAGAGAGGGAGGAGAGCTGCCCAGCACCCTGACTGAGATGTCCATCCACTTCCTGGTGGTTCAGACCAAAGTGAAGAAGGTCAAGTATGATGGAGGAGCTGAAACAGATCAACACTGGAGTCCTGAGAGCAGGAAGATGATTGAGTCTCTGGGAAAACTGGCTTTTGATCAGTTAAAGAAAGGAAAGCTGATCTTCTATGAATCAGACCTGACAGAGTGTGGCATCGATATCACAGCAGCCTCAGTTTACTCAGGAGTGTTCACACAGATCTTTAGAGAGGAGAGAGGGCTGTACCAGGAGAAGGTGTTCTGCTTCGTCCATCTGAGTGTTCAGGAGTTTCTGGCTGCTCTTCATGTTCATCTCACCTTCATCAACTCTGGAATCAACCTGATGGGAAAAATACAAAAGACCTTTAAGCACTCTTCACTCTTTCAGAAACCTAAACTAAACTCTCTTCACCAGACAGCTGTAGACCAGGCCTTACAGAGTCCAAATGGACACCTGGACTTGTTCCTCCGCTTCCTTCTGGGACTTTCACTGCAGACCAATCAGAGACTCCTTAAAGGTCTGGAGACTCAGACAGGAAGTAGCTCCCAGACCAATCCGGAAACAGTTCATTATATCAAGGAGAAAATTGTTGAGAATGTTTCTGCAGAGAAAAACATTAATCTTTTCCATTGTCTTGCTGAATTGGATGGCCATTCTATGGTGAAGGAGATCAAACTGTTCGTCATTTCTAACAGTCTCACCCCTGATAAATTATCTCCTGCTGAGTGGTCAGCTTTAGGTTTTATCTTAGTGTCATCAAGAAAAGCTGACAGAGTATTTGACATGAAGAAGTTCTCTGCTTCAGAGGAGGTTCTTCTGAGGCTGCTGCCAGTGGTTAAAGTCTCCAACAAAGCTCTGTAAGGACACTGATTGTTACTGTATTTGTTGTTGATGGACTGCCTCTACCATTTTCCGTCACTCTTATCCCAAGCGGGGTCACGGGGAGTTCTGGTCCATCCTGGACAGGTCGCAGTCCATCGCAGGGCAACACGGAGACAAACCACCATTCACGCACACACTCACCCTTCCTTTCCTTTCGGCTAGCATACAGTCTCAGGGTGCTAGATTTGTGGTGGAACCCTCACTGCTTGGTTAGAAGCTTTTGTGTCTTACCGTCTGTGGCCTGTATCTCATCCTTTGGCCAGCTTACTATTCCTGCAGAGTATCTAATTACTGGCAGAGTTATTGGCTGATAGTCCGATGGGACTGTACCCTTTGAGGGATCCTTCAGGATCAGGATTGTGCGCCCTTTGGTTAGCCATTCAGGGTGGTTCCCATCTCTCAGCAGCTGGTTAATTTGTACTGTCAAGCGTTCATGGAGTGCCGTGAGCTACTTAAGTCAGTAGGCATGTTAATGTCAGAGCCCAGTGTTGTTTAGATTTTCATACCTGAGACTATATATATATATATATATATATATATATATATATATATATATATATATACGCATAAAACTCCTCTATATAACTCCTCCTCACCGACCGTGGACAGTCTCCCGTTTTTCCTCCAAGCTCGGGTCTCCTTCCTGGGAGCACGAGGGTTCTGCCAGTATCTTACCTGTTCCTATAACTTCACTTTTCTGGACCAAGATGCCTGATGTATTTCCAGCGATCTGCTGTAACCACTCCTCCAGTTCGGGGGTTAGTGCCCCAAGGACCACGGTCAACAATGATGCCTTGACCTTCCAGGTTTTCTCCAGCTCTTCTCTGAGCCGCTGGTATTTCTCTCGTTTCTCAAGTTCCTTTTTCCCGATGTTGCAGTCACTTGGTATTGCTATGGCAACCACTACGGCTTTCCTCTGCTTTTTGTCCACCACCACAATCTGTGGTTGGTTTGCCCTTACCATTCGGTCCGTCTGTATCTGGAAGTCCCACAGGATCTTGACTTAGTCATTCTCTACCATCTTTGCTTTTTTTTGCAGTTTTGGGGCTCCTATATATATATATATATATATATATATATAGGAGCCCCAAAACTGCAAAAAATATATATATCAGCCTTGGTGGATTGTTTTAAATATTTTTTCTCTCTGTCCCCTCAGACTGAGTGGTTGTAACCTCTCAAAGAGAAGCTGTGCAGCTCTGTCCTCAGTTCTCAGCTCCCAGTCCTCCAGTCTCAGAAGACTGGACCTGAGTAACAACAACCTGCAGGATTCAGGAGTGAAGCGTCTATCAGCTGGATTGAAGAGTCCAAACTGCCAACTAGAAACACTTAAGTAAAGTTTAAATCCTTTTTTTTATTTGCTTCCCTTTTATTCCTTGTGATAACTTACCGCTGTTCTTTCTCTCAGCTATCTTAAGTACTTTAATGAGATTCAAAAGCAATGGTATCACTGGTACCACCAGTGTTTCAAATTTTATGGTTAGTTTAAAGAAGGCAGTTTTCAGTTTCCATTCAACTGCAGCTACAACCAATTCTAATTTGTTTAAATGTTACTTAAACCATTGTTGTTGGGTTTTTTCTACTCATAATAGTTAAGAGTTTGTTCCTCTCAGTTCCTCATGTTGTCATCATGTGTTGAATTGTGTGTCTGCAGGTTGTCAGGCTGTCTGATCTCAGAGGAAGGCTGTGCTTCTCTGGCTTCAGCTCTGAGCTTCAGCCCCTCCCATCTGAAAGAGTTGGACCTGAGCTACAATCATCCAGGAGAGTCAGGAGTGAAGCTGCTGTCGACTGGACTGAAGGATCCAGAATGGAGACTGGAAGATCTCAGGTATGAAGGAACCTGCTGCACCGAAGGCCTATCAGAAAAGGACGAGTGAGAAATGTATATTATGACCATTAATGAAAATGAACTAAACCGTGTGTTCACGCTCAAAGAGACTGATGGTCTAACTCCTCCTCCTTTCAGGGTTGAACCTGCTGGAGTCCGATGGATGACACCAGGTCTAAGGAAGTGTAAGTTTGTCATTTAATCCATGACAAAAGAGCAGCTCACATTTAACCATCTTTAAACTCACCAGTTACTCTTTCAGGAGTCTTCATCAAAGAGAAAATAAACGATCAATAACTGCAGCTGGATTGTGTCTGTTCTCTTTGTCAGATTCCACTCGGCTTTCAATCGACACAAACACAGTGAACAGAAACCTCAGAATATCTGAAGACAGAAGGAAGGTGGAACATGTTGAAGAGGTTCAGTCCTATCCTGATCATCCAGACAGATTTGATTACTGGCCTCAGCTGCTGTGTCAAAATGCTCTGACTGGTCGCTGCTACTGGGAGCTGAAGTGGAGAGGAAGAGTTAACATCTCACTAAGTTACAGAAGAATCAACAAACAAGAAAACTGTTGGTTTGGATGGAATGATCAGTCCTGGAGTCTGAGATGTTCTAATGACGGTTATTATGCTTGGCACGATAACAGACCAACATTTATCCCCTCCTGTACTTCCTTCTCTCCTTTTTCCACCTCCTTTAACAGAGTAGCAGTGTATGTGGACTGTGCTGCAGGGCTTCTGTCCTTCTACAGAGTCTCCTCTGACTCACTGATCCACCTCCACACATTCAGCACCACATTCGCTGAACCGCTGCATTTGGGACTGGGGCTCCTGTCTCCTGGTTCCTCAGTGTTTTTGTGTTGAGTCTACAGAGTCTAAATGTACGGTAAATAAATTAAAAATCCCTCTTGCATTTGTCAGCCAATGGTAGCAAAGGAGCGCTCTGAAATTAACAGTATTAGCCAATCAGAAGAAGAAGGGGGTGGGTCTTGGGAAAGCGTTTGTTGCTCAAGTCGCCAGATAGATTGTGGTTCAGTGCTGAAGTTCTACACAGAAAGTCACCTTGCGCCGTTTACTGCTCCATTCAACGGAGAGACGTATTAAAAATCAAAAAATAAATAAATGAAACTTTGTGTTTGGAGAGAAGAATGATAGAGAGAATTGCACGGAGGGCACAATGCAGTTCATGAACTCCAGGGAAGATGTCAGGACCATAGATAAAGGTCTCAAAAATAAATGGCGCTGGGCATGGCTGGAGGAGACAGGGCGAGATGGCAGGAAGTTTGGTCAATCGGGCACTTGCTTCTGCACGCTGGGATCCAGGAATGCTTAGCAGCATAACTGTATATCAAAAGGAATGCGGTTTATGCAAGTGGTAGATATACAGTAGATGCACTTTTGCCATCTTCTGGCCGTTTTCGGTATTGGATTTTCAAAAGTCAAATATAGTCTTCATTTTTTTTTTTTTTTTTTTTTTGCTTTAATCCCTGCATTGAAATCTTGAGGAATTGAGAAAATTAAATGTGAATAAAGCTTTTTTGAAAAAAGTTATTTTTTTATTTATTTCCAGGTTCCAACATTGTAAAACAAGCATTGTCTTATCAGTTAGGTCATTTTTATTTTAGTCTTTAATGTTTAACCATTTTTTCTGACTACAAACCTGACAGCAGTAATATCAGATATTATTTTGAATAAAGTGATAATTTAATTTAAAAAAATGTTCACAACCAAATTTTCACTGCATCATTTTGTCTTATTTCCCAGTTTGATTTTTTTCTGCACTCCTCCTGACATTAGAGCAGATCTAAAGTTCAGATTAAAGGTAGTTGTGTAATTATGCCCTCCTAAATCCCTGCATCTTTTCTTCTGCTCCTCTTCCCTCCAGTTGTTCTAATTATATAATATAATCTATAGTTAGAGACGGACATTTTAAAAATATTGCTCCATTTATTTTAAAAAGAATGATCCAGAAAATAAATTCAGTTTAAAAACTCAGATTGTTTTGTGGTTCTACCCTTAAATGGTTGAGAAGGCAGGAAATTTATTTTTCTAGATATGCATGCAGCTCTTTAACGCCCTCCTTGTGGCTCCCTGGAGTCTTCACAGTCTGTCTTTGACTGTGCAAGGTGTGCAAGTTCGGTCATTAAAGTGGGGATTGGGGGTTTTTAACAACTTCCCCCCTTTAACGACCGACCTTGCAAAATCATAGACAGGTTTCAGATATTACAGGCTAACAATGGAACCAAACGACCCACTCATCAGTTTCAATTTTTATGTTTCCAAGCAATACAAGTCCTTTTCTATATAAAGCCTCAAACTCACTGCGAATCCAGACATTTGAATTGAGAAACATTTATGGAAGGGAAGTGAAACATCCTGCTGGGACTTACTTCATGGCATATACCATGGACTCCTGGAAAAAAGGGGATGGTGTTTTTCACAACGTTGTCATTGGAGGATATTGAAGATGTTTGGATTTTTGGTTTTATGATACTCGGATTTATCCTGTTTGGATTTGGAGGATACCTGATGTATCTTCCAACACATTTGGAATATTGGATTTCACCATGAAAGAGCCAGCAAGACAAAGACTCAAGGCTGAAGGAAATTCCTCTGCAGCCTGCTCTCAAAACAATAAGTGTCATCCTGGATTCGACGTACACCCTTTATCTAATCGCCCCTGGATGTTATGGTGACAGGGCACAGAAGACCGCTCCCCCCCTCCCCTACCTGTGAAACATCTGTGGATGCTCTCATGTTGTTAAACTTTCATCTTATCAAGGACATTGCCTGTAGGGCGACAGTGGTGTTGGAGTTTGCCCTGAAATCCAAGGGTTGACGGTTCAAGCCCCGACTCCAACTTTCAGTGTCATTGTGTCCTTGGGCAAGACACTTCACCTGCATTGTCTACTGATGGTGGTCAGAGGGCCCGGTGGCGCCAGTGTACGGCAGCCCTGCTTCTGTCAGTGAGCCCCAGGGCAGCTGTGGCTACAATGTAGCTTGCCACCATCAGTGTGTGCGTGAATGGGTGAATCGATGTAGTGTAAAGTGCTTTGGTCAAGTCTCCTGACTTGAATAAAGGCGCTATATAAGTACAGGACATTTATCATTCACGGACAAATTGAATGCACTCATCATACACACACAACTTATTGACTCCATGGGACTATGCCTCCAATGTGATCCTCTACTTAAATGTCTGTCTTGTGTTTACATGTGCTTTATTGTGTGAGATTTTATTAGATATCTCAAACTGTATCCTGTCAAGGATAAAGTGTGTTATGTTTTTTCCCCTCTCCTTCCCCACGTGGCTCCTATCTTTCCACAGAGACACAGCGCCAAGTAACCGCCTGGACCTGGGCAGCCAGGTAACCGGTGGGAACCCGGCAGCTTGGCCTCAGTTAATCCGTCCACCCTGTCTGACTATGGGTCAGACAGCTACACCATCACGTTAATAAAAAAATTTGAAGCTGCTGGTGGAGCTTTTGTTTTCACCCACAGACAACCTGCTCTCTGTGTCTCTGTTCTGATGCCCTTAAGCCGGGCATATGTTTGTTCTCACTCTGTGCGACCCAACGCTTTGATGCGATCTACCTGCTCACACTGTACGTCTAAAAACCAGGTGGAACTCAGCTCTGCAGTGAGATGGCGCTACTCGGACCCGTCTATCCGAAAGCCAAACGAGTAGAAGAGGAATATGAAGCTCACTAGAGTGAAACGCGCTGCCTTGGATATTTGGGCAATTTAGTGCTGAAAGCCCTAAAAAGAAAAGGAGACGACGTATTTGGACAAAGACATGGCTGAGCTAACGTGGCTACTACGGTCTGACAGTTTGACAGAAAGAACTCCATTTCACTCATTGCCCCCCCGCCATGCTGCTGGGTTTTCCTCTGAGAGGAAGAAGAAGAAGAGCCCTTGTTTGCGCACTAAGCGATTTGCCCACGACCTCCTTACGACGGCCGACCTAATTTCAAACATGTTTGATTTTCCCACAACCTTACAATTTATGAGGAGGAGGTGGTCGTTAGCGGCTGATCGCCCCTCGTTACCCCCTGTACACTACACCACACTCCATCAGGCTGAAAGATGGCCAGATCAAAAAATCCATGCACTTCTGGAAAATCGGCCCCACAAGGGCAAAAAATCATACAGTTTATGTCCGGCTTTACAAGCTAAGAAGTTCTTCCAGGTACCGGTTGTGTATCTTTGCTAGAAGAAGTTATATTTACCATAGGAGGGGTCAGTTTCAAATAGTGCCATACTATTATTGCTATTTGATCCTGACTAAGGTGACTTAAAACTTCACGGCTGTCATACTTAAACTATATCCCTTCCCTACTTCCTCCTCTTACTTGGTTACTACTCATACTAACCTTATGACTCTATTACCCTGTTTAGATTTTCTGTAAAATCTATTTGGTTAGGGGGATAAGAGTCAGTTCTCCTAATCACCTACATCATAGAACTACATCCTTTTTCTGTAATCAAGTCAGATAACTAAGTAGTCAGCAACCTGTCAGCAAAGGGTGGTGAGGTTTAATTGAAGACCATAGGTTACAGAGCCTGAGGAGCAGGGAGAGACGAGCTGAGAGGAAAACTACAGCAATGACAAGGAACCAGCACTGAGTGACTGCAGAGGTGGAGTACAGACCTCCAGATCCCAACAGATAAAACTTTTTTTTCTATCTGAAAGACAAATACAGGTCTTCCAAATTAAGTATTTCATAGAAAATGGGGGCATAGAGCATCTCCTGTTATTCTCTGTCATGATAAATGACATGTTTGATGACACAGATATGGGGGTGGGGCGTGTTGGATGACCCAGACGGTGGTGGGTCCAGTTCTTGTGTCATTATTAAAAGGAAGGCAATTGTACCTCTTAGGCCCAATAGGGAGGGGAGAGTAACTATCTGATCCAGCTGGAGATCGCAATGTTCGCCCCATTGGCGAGCAATGTATGCAAACCTCCTAAAGGTTGGAGCTAAAGTCTGTAAAGCATACAAAGGTTGTTTGTGAAGAAGAAATGACATGGTTTAAAATAATAATCGAATATTTTAATCCTTCATAAGCAATAATGCAAAGGTGCTTAATCTGTTGAAGTTATTTTTGCAAACCTATAATAAAGTATGTAATCTTTTTTAATAAAACAGTAATCGTTTATAGGAACAGAGAAGTAACTGTTTAGAGGGACATAGCAGTGAAGGAAGCAGATGGAGAGGAAACAAGGAAGGAGAAAGACATGACAGTTGTGAATTAGGTCATGTGAGTCTGTGCAACTGAAAAAGGGGAAGTGCTGAATCACCAGTAATTCCCCTGAATAAATGTGTGATACGAAGAAAAGGTTGGGTACTCATGGACACATTGGTTCTACTGCACAGAACTTTAAGGGTATAAAAGTAGCCGGATGCTGTTTTAGGTCACTCAGTCTTTGCCTCAGAGATAGAATAACTTAAGGTCGGCAGCAGAGAAGGGAAAACTCCATCCTGATGGGTTTAGAAGTTGAGCCAGTTTTGCCTTCCTCTCACTTTCCTATTTTCCAACCAACGTCGGGTGAATATGACAACTGTACATCATTTTTGGAGATGGAACGTGATCGGTGGAGTTGGGGACAGAACTCGAAGTGGATGTTGAATTCACATCTCCGTTTTTGGATTCCAGTCCAGATTATTAACCGTATTTTGGAAAGGATTATTTTTACTTTTCTACTATTTGGATTCTGGTTTGGTTTATTATTCGCCCTTTTGAAAGGATTATTCGATTCACATAGATGGATTTCTGGATTCTACTGATGGAATTAATTACAACTCTCCAGTGTAGTTATGGTTGGATTACTGTGTTTTTTTACTCTCAGAACATCTTTGAACTGTGAGTTGTTGTGCCTATAGTGACTGATCCTTTTCACTAAGGAAAAGGGAGGAATATTCCTCTTTTTCAACAATCTGGAATACGAGTTATCTGCTCTCCCGCATACATTTTAGAAAATCAGTTAGGATGTTTAATTGATTTTTATTTTACGTTAGATGTACTAACTGCTGATGTTTCTTATCCCCTGCTAACGAGATATTAATAAAGCACATTAAAATCTAGCTTAATGAGCGGACATTGGATTTTTGAGTCAATTTTTATAATGACTTCTTCAAAGATGTATAGAAGAGTTGGTGTTGGGTTACAGAATAAGAACTGAATGTCTTATTCAGAATCTTTTGGCCAAGTTTTAATAAAACAACATCCTTGTGATTTTCAGTTGCTAAATAATGTATTGACCA